GGAGATTACAAAATTTCCGGCGATGTAAAAAAAAGTGGACGAGTCCTCCTTAAAAGGCTATTGGTTTCGTGGGTCCTTGATTCAGAGCTTAAAAAGTTGCCTATTAGATAAGGCAAAGACATGTCAACACACACAGTAAGCATAATAGTAGATATATAAAAGTAGAATAGTCATAAATCTATTAAAAAAGACAAAAAAAGAAAGTGTGAAAACGGTCTTTATAACGGTTAGAAAAAGATAATAATAGGGTTTTGAATGAAACCTCTATTGCCATAATATTAACTACTGGTTTTTATTATTCCAGAAGACAAATATATGGTGAAGTTGTGCGACGGTTAATATAAAAATATATGAAATGTGACAGCGATAAGGTTGATGCTAGTTTCTCTGCCAGAGGTTTCTTGTTTTGTCGGGATATTGAGCAAAAACACTACGATTAATTTGAATCTGAATATTAATGCCTGATGTTTTCAGGATGGCGTGGGATGCATCAAGTCGCACAAGTTTCTCGCGTTGATGTACCAGCTGGCTGCGCGTAGTGAGCACAAAACAGCAACACCAGCTCACGGTTCCAACCCACACTAGGACGAGGTAGTTCATGACTCTTGCACCCCATCCTGTTCGCAATGGGTCCTGCCCCTTAACTATTTTATTCATTCGCTCCCGTCATGGCTATGCATATGTGTCACAGGACGCAAATTCAAATTCATCTTCGCAGTCTTGTCATGTGCTCTAATGTTAGTGTAATAATGTTATGTAGGGTTATCTGTAATAAAGATTGAAATATTTATGCTGTAATGATCTGTTAAGCAAATAAAATAGCAATGGACAATTGAGCGTCTCCAAAAAAAGTTAAGTGTTTAGTGCAAATTGGTAGTGCACGTGCATATGTGCATGATTCATGTGTGCGTACATGTATCTGTGTGCATAATACATCGCTTGATTCTCCACAGACATTCCTTAATTGATAAGTTTAATTGATAACGGTTCCTATCAATGGGATAACGCCAAGTCATTGTGTTTTTTAATGTAGTTTGAAAGCAGAGGGCAAATCGTGATTGGTGCCTTTAAATTAGTTTTTGCGGCACATGCTGATCCCTACCCATCATCGCCCCTCCTGTGATGTTTACTTAGGTTTATGTGTGTCTTCGTAATAGATTATCTGTCGTGCCACTTTATTACGGTGACTGGCACGGATGCTTTTCTGTTTCAGCTTGATCGTGCGTACAGTTGAAGGACACCCGCACCACACGCTACCCATCATTCTCGCGCTAGCAAACTCTTACAAGCACCGAGCTGTTCGCTTCCAAGACAACACCCGGTCGCGGCCGGAGCGTCAAGTCGAAGGAGAAATCTGGTCGTGGAAGCAGCGTATGTTTGCCAAAGTTCTTAGATATAGAGGAATGAATGTAACGAAACGCCCTCTCTTCTTTCTCTCTCTCTCTCTCTCTCTATCTCTAATCTATCTCGTCGCTCTCTCTTTCCCCCCCCCCTCTTCTCTTTCTCTTCTGCTTTGAGTATTCAATGTCATGGATTACCTAGCCGAATGGTTTCTTATCGACGTATAAACGGCGTGGCCGGTCCAATCTCCACTTACTTTCCCCGGGTATATCCGCCGGTTGTCCGTTTCCAGGACAGAGTGCCTCGCCGCCAAGAACATGTTGGAACCTGCTTGCGGAGTCAGAGGGGGTCCCCCACGGGTGACATCATCGCCAACATGGAGGCGCTGTCCGACGCTACATCATCGCGTCGCCTACCTCGACCGCGAGCGCTCACAAGAAGCGAGACGTCAGTCGATCAACATTCCCGGCGAGCAGCATCTGCTCGCCGCCTCGCCAACCTCCACAACGTTGCGTGCCGACGGCTCGAGCCTGCCGGTATGCTCAACGCGCACGCGAGGAATATGGGGGAATGAGTTTCGTATATAGAGTAGAGAAGATATATAGAAGTATAGAGTTAGATACTGCTATAAAGTAGGAAGTTATGGAGTAGAATAGTATTATAAGTATAGAGGAATGGGTATGCGACACTGCATGTCGCAATTTAAGATCTATACGTGAGAGTTTTTTCGTGTGGAGCATTCACTGCCCATGGTGATCTGTTGAGAGGCTTGCAGGCATTCTCACGTTATCGGAACACTCGTCGATTTTCTATAATTATGTAATCAAATATTCTTTGCGTAATGGAGTAATCTGTGCATGCTTTTATTGAATTTCTGTCGTCGAGTTAAATAATGTAATCAAGAGAACTGTAATGATAGTAGCAGTGACTGCCATAGAAAAGTTTTGGATCCTTTTTTTAATTGGCAGCAACACTACGATAATTATTGCCCACATGGAGTCTTTGCCCATCTAGCAATAGCTTGCATTGAATGTAGTTATATTGTTAACAGAAGATACTGTTACGTCTAACTCAACTCTCTACCGCTACACCGACGGCCATTTCTTCTCATTTTCTCTGCAACGATGCACGCAAAACTGGCAGGTAGATCCGACATGCGAGTACAAGAACATCGGGCACGTGGGTTTGCGCGACATTTAACTAGCCGGTGAGGTCTCAACCTTCCAAGATTATACCTGCCTCAGCTCTGATGGCAAGCACGAAGACAACTAGTCAAGGCTCGGTGTAAGCCATTCCCTAAAACTGATCTTACATGTAGTTTTTCTACAGTTACGGTAAGCCCACGCTACCTTAATTTAGTCCTATTATTACGGTTTGATTATGAGTTCATCGTACTACAACAGTCTCTTACACTATGAATTTTCAAGGTTTGCTCATTGGACTGAATACTTTTAACATTTGCATTTTGCTGAGGCTAGGGATGATCTGAGACAGGATGCTGTGCATGCCAGCCAGGTGTTTGGCGTATAGTCAACAGAACTGCTGCAGGGTCAGCAGGACAGACAAGAAACGCCGACTGCACATACGCCAGTACAAGCGTACTCAGTGACGAGAATCGATCATACTGATTCGATTTAATTCAGAAGTAGTAGTGAAAAAAAAATTGCAAGTTTATATACTGATTAAAGGATGCGTTATATCTTTGGCATTCTGGTGCTGGTACCAGAGTTCAAAGAGATAAATGAATTTACTCAAAAAAAGTCAATTTAGTGAAGGCTCAAATATTCAATTGCTGAATGAAAGTACGTGGTTATAGCAAAACGCTGCCTAATAAAAGTTAGCTAAAAGTAAGTGATATACTAAACCATTCAGCTGTTCACCATCTCAAGCAAGTACAGTTTCACCTCCTCGACGACGCAGTAAGAAAAATAATCTAAATAGCTCTACGACGTTCTACGTCACCTCTACCCGTCACTGTATTTTTGCATCAACAATAGAAAGTTGAATCAATATAGCATTTTATCACACCCTACACAGCTAATGCCCGCTCGCCACACTTTGGTATCGACAGTAGGAAGAATTATCTAGATTTTATCACACCCTACACCAGCTAATGCCACTCTGCACACCATTAGTTATCAACGTAGCGAAGATATCTGGTTATTTATTACGTCCTAAATCCACTAATTGCCGCTCTCACACTTCTATCGACGACGGGGACATTAATTATAGGGTGTTATTATGTGCTGCTGTCAAGCGTGATTTGCCGCTCTCTCAGCGCAGCCGGTTGCTGCCTGTGGAGTGGTGTGAGCGACACGATCTCCGCCGCGTCTCTACCTCGTCAGGTGACAGCCAGCGTGGCAGCGGACTGCTGCGCACCACAGTACCGGCCGGTGCGAACTGGACGGCGCGGCGTGCTCGGCGCGCCCCGATGTGGCGGCGAGCGGCAGCGACAAGCTCGCGGCGCCACGTTCCTCGACGCGCTGCGCCACTTCCTGCCCGTTCTCCGACACTTCTTCTTCGAGGGCTTCGTCGGAGCCGGCGATCTGGTTCGAGAGCGGAAGCTGGCGTTACACGCGCAGAATGTGGCGACGAATTCTATCGTGCTGCAATGCTGTTCGTTGGTTGTCATCGTGTGTTGTTTAGTTGTTTTCGTCGTTCTTTGTTGTTGTCATTGGCATTGTTGTTGTTTGTTGTCGTGCTATTGTCATTTGTTGATTGTGGAGCTTGGCAGCGTCTGGTTTCCAAGCAGAATTCCATTCGCTTGGTCGCGCCGTGATTCTTGATATACTATTGTCATATCGTTGTGGTTGTTGTTGTTGTTGCATGTTGGTGTTGTGTCTGCATGTTGTTGTTTTGTTGCTTGTTGTTGTTGTTGTTGCTTGTTGCATGTTCGTTGTTGTTGTTGATGTTGTTGTTGTTAGATCGTATTAATTGTTCTTTGATTGGTGGGAAGGCGGCAGTTCGCGGATTGACTGGTGATCTACCGAATGGAGGAGCAGAGCCTTCTCCTGGGCCTCATTCACAACACCTTTCGCCTCCACATAGTATTCGAAGCTTTTCTTCCATTTTGTCCAACGTGGTCCCACTGTTGTCTGTTGGCCACCACAGTCAAACGCTGACAATCCCACTAACTCGATGGCTATTTTGGCCATAATTCGCCTGAACTTGTTCCTTAAATCCTCGTCGCCACTGTAGCGTCTTGATCCGACGTATGGGTTCAATTTAGTATGATAGATCTACAGATTATTACAAACTTCTGAAATCATAACATGCTCGGGATTCGACCATATTGGAAAGTATTTATTAACTGTTTATAGGTGGCGTCGTAGCGCCCGCAGCGCCATAGCGGCGACTACACTAACCATTAGGCTAGGTCTCAATATACCACATAGAGAATATCTATAAATAGATAAATATCTCTATATTGTACATGCCTGGTATTACCACATATCGTATGTAATTAGATGCAATAGTCGATATTATACAATATTTAAACTGCTGTGCAGTTGTCACATATTGCATTTTTTCAAAGATCTTCTGTCAGTTTGAAATCTTTTGTCCCCATGACACCATTACCTGTGCTATGAATTATCGTTCATCTTTATTGAAACTTGATGTGCATCATGTCAGGTGTTTTCCCTGTTGTTTGTTAACAGGAGCGGCAAGTGATGTGCCTCTAACGATGAACAAGCACTCTGTACGGGTGATGCTGAACTTACTGCAGTATCTACGTCTGCAGCAAACTCACACCACATGGTCGGTTTCCCTTCCTCGGTTTCTGCTCCCTATTAGAATCGTGTGTCGTCACCAGAGAATTAACCACCTAATAATAAAGAGCAGCATATCAAAACCCTAGTCGGTTTCACAATCAACTATTCCAACCGACACAATTCGGCCGATGCACGCTGCTGATATTATTACAACATTGATGTAAAACTCATTCTAATGTCTGTAGTCCTGCCCATGTTGCACATGCCTTGTGATCGTGTTTATCGTGACCTTCTTTCTTGTTTCTTGCGACCTTCATCCGTATTTCTTGCGACCTTCATCCTTGTTTTTTGCAACCTTCCTTGTTTCTTGCGACCTTCATTCGTGTTTCTCGCGACCTTCATCCTTGTTTTTTGCGACCTTTCTTGTTTCTTGCGACCTTCATCCGGGTTTTTTCATGAATTTTGTCCATGTTTCTGCGGTGTGCTCTGCAGCGGGCTGGCGGCGACAGCCTGGGACACCAACTTCTGGCTGGACGTGGACTACCTGCAGCTGGCGCGCGCCGCGCAGTACTGCTCCGCCTACTTCACCTCGGTGCTGTTCACGGAGATCGCTTGCTACATCGCCGCCGACATGTGCGCGTAAGTAAGCTTCGACGTGTTTCTCGCGACCTTCGAATTTCACTGCATGTCAATTACAATCGCATCGAACAGGCAGTACAGCGGTTCTTCTAATTACGAACAGGATAGCTATAGGTTCCTGGGGGTAAGTCCAAATGTTCGGAAGTCCAACATTACTTTTATGAATACTGAATACTGTACACAGTATTGTAAAAAAAGGTTTGTACAGTACTGCTATACCCCAATAATACTCGACAGTATATTTTACCAGCATTAAACAGTATTACTTAAAGTCTGAGAAACAGGGACTGGGAATGGCTTTAAAGGTTGTATAACCTCCTGTAGATGTAGATGGCATTTGTCCTCGTTGGTCTTGCCTCTTGTGTCCCATCTCAACTCTTTTGAAAAAGATATCAAGAGAGATTGCGTGGCGGTTGAACTTCCGCACCGACGTGGTGTTTACAATTTACAGACAGGTTTGTTCGTATTGCTGAAAGTTCGTAACTTGAACGTTTGTAAGTAGGGGAGCGCCTGTACAGCGCTTTCGTGAACCGCGTAGCAACGTTTGCAGGAGTGAGCTGCCACTGCCGCCGCCGAAGCGTGCCGGCAAGGCGACGATGACGCAGCAGGAGGTGAGCGAGATAAGCCAGACGTTCTTTGTCTCGCGGCTGGACAGCGTGGGCGCGCACGCTGCTGGCGCGCACGCCGTGCTGCTGGAGGCTTACAGGGCCATCGGCGACTCTGACTGCGTCTACGGCTGCGTCGTGGGACGGCTTGCGGACCCCGCTACCAGGTGAGCACCGATCGCTCCCATGCTGTTCAAGTTGCCCGGTTAGGTCATGCTGATCGAGCGTGCTGACTTATTGCGTGCGTATATAATACAATATAAATAACTATATATTGTGTAATAACTATGTTATATAAATTTATTTATTTATTTATTTATTTTGGTATTTTCATTGGCAAACGCACACGTATGCACACACACATACATGCACATATATAGATGTATACATATAAATGTGGGTGTGCGTGCGTGTGTGTATGTATGCCGATGAAAATGTACTGGTACACTGAATGAAATGCAATACAAATCTTGAATGCTCTGTGTGATGACCGCATCCGTTCCTCCCATTACAGAATCACGACGTATGAGATGGAGAACAAGTGGGAGCGAGCGCTCGGAACCTACGATCTTCTAACGCACCAGCAACCGGCAGAGGGCAGCACTGGCATAGTTAAGGTGATCGCTATATCGTGGCGTGATAAGTTACAAATAAAATTGTCGAGGTAGAGTAAGTGCAAATGTAGGTGAATTGAATGTGCTACACTCTATACTACATTCAAACCGTTCACTCATACCTCTACGGAACAAACAGCCTTATAAATAAGTATCTATCCGTATCTATAAATAACACTTGTTACTGTATTTCTCTTAAGTGTGGCAGTTAAACAGTGAAACCACTATAGTATTAGAACGACACACCGATTCGTAACGAACACTTGGTATTTCCCATGAGTTGCAATTACACAGTGAAACCTGCTTTCTAGAATGATCTCATATTTATAAAGGACACTCGATTGAGCCTTGTATAGGTTTAACTGTATTTTTTCCCCCGTCTGCGGCAGGCCCTACAGTGCGCAGGCCTTGATCATGTGCTGCACAGTTATCTGGAGCAGCTGAGAGCTGAGAATCGCATGGAGGATGACGCTGGACTGCAGTCTGTGTTCTACGGGTCTGCGTGGAGAGACCTCGGTCAGTGGAACCTGGATACCACCCATAGGTATGTATTCACCATATATTATATACCTAATAACTAGTATGTTTGATGACTATAACCGGTAGGCGTGTGTTGGCCGAACACTCTACAGTTAGCTTACAGTGAATGCTGGTTTGCAATCGTATTTCTGGGTGATTTAGATTAAATTCGGTGTGCATTGAAGTTTGTTTTTTTCACTTTTATTATTACAACAGAAATCTGTAAAACTCGGTTTATAAAGACGGATTTTACATTTTTTTTATACGTTTTAAAAACATTTTAAGAGGTATCAGGATCTGTATGAAAAGCGTGGAGTGTGTTAATCTGTACTTTACATTCTTGTCTGGTAATGGCTTTCCCACTATCTCTCTAAGTCCCTGATTCCATCCTCTCATGTGTAAAATGTATAAAAGCGGCTTCTTCAAAGACATTCCTCCCACTGTAAAGTACTTCTATCACAAAGAGTTCCGTGATCATATGTTACCTTGTGTGTGTCGCCGGACAGGTCCCAGAGTGCGGAGTTTCAGCAGACAATCTACAGCGCGCTTCAGCAGGTTGCCGACGGCAACGAGGCATCTGCCGCCATGTCGCTGGCCGCCGGCCGCGAGGCGGTGATTGGTCAGCTGCTGCACGCAGGACTGGAGACGACGCGGAACATCTACCCTGCTCTGTCAAGCCTTCAGTGCCTGAACGAACTAGAGCAAGCTCTGCCTGTCATCTGCAGGTATACACACACGCACGCACGCACGCACACATACATACACATACGCACGCCCCCCCCCCACACACACACACAAGTTACATGCTTCAAGGGTGACAGTGGTCTACTAAGCACTAAGCACTACTACTACTACTACTGGTCTATAACAGAGACCATTTTACCGCCACTGCTCTACCACTTCTAATATTTTAACACTACTAATTCTGCTGCGATGTAACGTACATGTAAATTGTATACGTACAGGTATTGTATCTATGCCTCATCTTTTTTCACACAGTTACAATCTATTTTCAACATATTATCAAATCCATAATAGAACAAATCGGTCTATTACAAACCGTTAAAGCTGTTACCCTGTTTGACTTTTCACTCAATTAAATCTCGAAAACTAACCTGACTAAGACGAGAAACAAAAAGGCTAAAACTAAACCGCCGACTATGTTTAAAAATCATCATTCCTCGTTTCTTCGTGAAACAAAGCGAACGTGTTTCGGGTCGTTAACCGCACGTTCTTCATGCGTGTGTCTGTTTGTCCCCCTGTGCAGGGCAGAGTTGGTGGGAGACCTGCTGCAGCGGTGGCAGCACAGTGACGTTTACAGCGTCGCAGACTACGACTTTGTGGAGCCGGTGCTGTCGCTGCGCTGCGCCGTGCTCTCAGTGCTGGCGCGACGTCGCGGCGCCGCCAACGTCGACCTACAGGGGGCGCTGATGACCAGTCTCGAGCGGCTGTCGAGATTGGCGCGCGAGGCGGGCCTGCTCCAGGTATGCTGACCCAAACCGAGGCAGGTGGCGCCACCGCTGATCCGCGTGTGGTCGGTTTTGGCAGCCGTTCAAGAAATTTATTCGGAGGGGTTGTTTGAGGGTGGAAGGAGGACTGCATGTGGATGTCAATAAAGCTATAACTATAAGAGGAGCAATGTGTAATGTCCCACGGTTTAGTATGTATAATCAAGAAATTGCTGTTTTAAGTGAAACCTGTGATGTTTAGAAACTACAAGGATTGTTTTAGTAAACTCGTAATTGTAGGTGAGTGAATGTTGCTTCCGGTTTGCTGAATATTAATGAAAAATATTTTTATTTTAATCATATATAATATAGATTGCTGAGAAGAACATATTTCGCATCAAGCAACTGGAGCAGAAATGGCAGACTGGTGAGTTGTCGTGGAACTTGGAAGAAGCGAAGATCTACTGGGCGCGCGCGGAGTGCGACACGGCTCTCTGCTTGCTCAAGTCACTCGTGTGTGACCTCAAGAAGGTTTGTTCTATTACATATTACGACAATATATTTATAGTTATGTATCATCTAACGATTGCTATTATCGTATCAGCAATATAATTATAACGTATGCTATTGCTCGACTCTTGATTGCACTACTTTGATTTTTAAGTCTGTGTGACACTACATATTGCATTTTACAGTAGTAGTTAGTATATTGTAGTAGTAGCAGTAGTATGATCACCTGAACAAACAATCTGCTGAGCTGCATTTGGGAAATAATGCAAATTGTATAAAATGAACTGATTTTATCCTGTGCGTATAGGCAACTGCGAACGGATCAGTGAGGCGAAATGCGTCGCTGTACCCGAAGGCATTGTGCCTGTATGGAGACTGGTTAGCTTCAACCCACTCTAAGCATCCTCAGGTTATCATGGAGGATTACCTCGAAAAGGTGGAGAAATAGCTGTCATCTATGTACCTGCTACCACACCTCTCTTCACCCATCTATCCATGGTTTCACACTGAACACGTATACTAAATGTTGTTCCCTTAATTTTAATGCCAGTAAGGCTATCTTTTTTTTTTATTTATGTCTTTTCCTAGATGTTTCATTTTAGATAACCTTTATTCAGTTTTTGGAGTGTAACAAGGAAACGTGTATTCTGAAAAACATGTACTGATGTAGTGGAAAATATTTGGTCTGGCCACTTGTATTTACCACAAAGATATGCCTATTTAACCATTCATGTATACACGCGCGTCCACTGTCGTGATGCAGGAATATATACTAACCAGCATACCATGTTGAATATGTAATAATCATTATTATTTTATTATGTGTATTCCTGATTAATGCCCCCTGCCGTAGCTACTCACCCACCTACCCAACTTCCCGAACGACTTCGGAAAAATTACGAGCAAGTCTCCATTGCAGTGCCACCGTGCATCATTCTATCGTCTGTCTCGGCCGCGAATGATTAATTATTTAGTTAATAAATACCTTAATTAACGATGAGCGCTGACACGCGACCTCTTTCTGCAGGCGGTGGAGTGCGTGGAGAGAGGCGGTGCGCAGGCGGCGGCCGTGGCACTGGATGCTTACCTGTCGCTCGCGCGATACGCCGACAACCAGTACCGTCACGTCGTCGACTACATGTGCTCGAGCACGTACGACGCGAAGCAGGCCCTGCTGCGCGAGAGCCGCGAGGCCGCCAGCATGATCAAGACGATGGACAGGAACCAGAAGTAAGCGCGGGCGGGAGTCGTGCGGAAAATGTTGCTGGAAGTGTTGTCGAATGTTGCCGGAAGTGTTGCCGAATGTTGCTGGAATTGTTGCCAAATGTTGCCCGGGTTGTCGTCGATTGTGGTGGCGCAGTAGGGCTGTTTTATGCGAGAGATGAGGGGATTAATCATCGTTAGAGTAATTGGCGTCTTCCCCGTTAGTTGTACCCATTGCAAATTCTCTCTCCGATTGCAGAGTGGTTGTCGGTAATGATGTCACTGTGGTTTTTCGTAGCGCAGATACAGAGGTTGTTGAGGAGTCACCGGTCACGGATGAGACGGTGCCACGGTATGGGCATGGCATGCTGCATGGCGTGTGTGTAATGCTGTGTTGGCTGTCGCACGGGGAAATATCAGTTATTGACCCTCTATTGCACTGCTGCTGTTGTTTTAATGCGCGCACGTTTCTATGCCTCACCCACGTTTTTGCTCCCAAGAATGCTGCTGCATTTTTGCTTTTAATTTAGTGCAGCAACTTCGTAGTTAACGCTAGGTTTCGTCGGGTGCACGTGAAGGTTGCTACAGAAATGCCCATCATTCCATCAAGAAGCAGAGCGAGAGAAGCAGCTAGAGTGAAGAGGTCGTGAAAAAAACGCGGTGTGAAGGCGTCCTTTATAGACAGGTGTCCTCTCTTTCCCCGCAGCGTCAGGCTAGATTCAGAGGTCGTGGAAAACAAGCGTGGCGTAAAAGTGTCCTTTATAGACAGGTGTGCATGTCCGTTATATAGACGAGTGTACTCTCTTCCCCCGCAGCGTCAGGCTAGATTCTTCAGAGGTGAAAAAGAAGCATGGCGTAAAAGTGTCCTTTATAGACAGGTGTGCAGGTGTCCTCTCTCTCTCCCCGCAGTGTCTCGAGTCGCGTGCTCATCACGCTGGAGAAACAGAGCATCCTCGACCAGCGCGAGATGAGCGACATGCTACGCCAGAAGAACACGTTCCTCGTGAAGGCCGTGAACAACTACTTGCGGCTGCTGCGCGCGGGCGACGATCACGACCTGCGCGTGTTCCGCCTCGTCTCGCTGTGGTTCCACAACGCGAACAACGACGACGTCAACGCCCTCATCAAGGTGTGACGCGGGCGGCGCGATCGCGAGCGAATCATCGTTTTGTTCTCGTTTACTCATTGTTTTAGTTTATTGATTGATTTATTGATGGCTTATTGATTAAGGTGAGAACGTGAGCTTGCAACTTCTCACTGTCTGTGATGGATGTGAGATGAGTCATCAAAGTACGAGTTCTGCTTCAACACAATAGAATATTTATTGATTGATTATAATTATGCTATGTTGATAAATATGAGAACGTGAGCTTGCAAGCTCTTCACAGTTATAGATGAATGTAAGAGGAGTCATCAAGGACTAACACATGTTTATGCTGATATGAGACACTGTTAGGGTCAGTGATTTCACAGTGGTTTAGGGAGATACAAAATTCGGACGATATAAAAAAAAGTGGACTGAGTCCTTCCTTAAAAAGGCTATTGGTTTCGTTGTTCCTGATTCAGAGTTAAAAAGCTGCCTATGTAGATAAGGCAAAGACATGTCACACACACGTACAGCATAATAGTAGATATATAAATAGAATAGTCATAGATCTATAAAAAAGACAAAAAAGAAAGGTGAAACGGTTATAACGGTAGAAAAATATAATAATAGGGTTTTAATGACCTCTATTGACATAATATTAACTACTGGCTTTTATTCCAGAAGACAATATATGGTGAAGTTGTGACTGTTAATATAAAAATATATGAAATGTGACAGCGATAGGGTTATGCTAGTTTCTCTTGCCCAGAGGTTTCTTGTTTTGTCGGGATATTGAGCAAAACACTACGATTAATTTGAAGCTGAATATTAATGCTGATGTTTTCAGGATGGCGTGGGATGCATCAAGTCGCACAAGTTTCTCGCGTTGATGTACCAGCTGGCCGCGCGTATGAGCACCAAACAGCAACACAGCTCACTGTTCCAACCCACACTAGACGAGGTAGTTCATGACTCTTCACCCCATCTGTTCGCAATTGTTCCTGCTACTAATTTTATTGCAGTCGCTCCCGTCATGGTATGATATGTGTCATCAGGAGCAAATCAAATTCATCTCGGTTTGATGTGCTCCTAATGTTATGTAGGTATCTTAATAAAGATTGAAATATTATGTGTTATGTTGTTAAGCAAATAAATAGCATGGAAATTGAGGTCTCAAAATGCAAATGGGTATGTGCACCAGCCTAAAAAATACTTTTTTTATTACGAGAGCTCTTTTTTGATTTTGTATGAAAAAAAGAGCTCTCGTAATTTTGTTTACGGGAGCTATTTTAAGCTTGGCCAGAGCTACTTTTTCATAGCATGATTTTGTTAAAATTCTCATAATTTTGATGCACTGACTCTAATAATGTCTCAGAAGCCAGAAATTGTGTCTAATTATCGTAAAGGTGTTTCCCAAACAAAAGTCAAGATTATGCTTTGGCGAAATCGACGAGGTCACAAATTATTCCTAATGGTGACAAAATCAGGGAGGCCGGGTTTACATGTTGCTGTATGCATGTTGTGTACAAAGTATGACTGCATGCACTGATTGTCTCATTCGCATTGTTTTTTAATTCAAATCTCGTTATGTCTAGCCATTCAATAAAAAAAACTTGCTTCCCCGAACAGGGAAGTGCAATTTCAAGCTACCTGCCCCGGGGCGAATTTTGGTTGCCCCGGGTCATCGGGCAAGCGGGTTTGTCGAGCCCGGCACCGCAGGGTTCGAATTTCGGCTGAAAATCTAGTGGACAGCAGGACCACCAACTTCAGAAAGTTGGTGGACCTGCAAAAAAATTTGGTGGTCAGCTTATTTACTAGCAGTGAGTAACAAAATAGTATATAAACAGCATACGCATAACAAGGAGTTAATGAAGACAAATAGTGTCTTCATTAACTCTTGATGTAACTTAATTAGAGTTGGTCAAATAATGTTTCAATCTCTAGGAATGTCGGGGGAGCTTCTGGGTAAGGTTTTACTTTCGTTTTTCTCTTCCCCAGTCCACGGTACACCCATGCATAGATCTATCAATGCTGCCGCACATCCACAAAGTTACAAGTGCCTAGAATCTTCAAGTATATACAGTTTACATTTCTTCTAAATATCTACCTGAATAAAAACAGTCCACTTTCTACGTGACGAATTCAGAAAACAGCTTTGATTACGTGCGTGTCAGGTGGCACTGGTCGTGCCCTAACTTCCCACAATAACCCCTGCGATATATAAACTTATTGTTACGCGGTTATAAAAACACATTGATTTCTTAGACTGTCGCGAGTTTTTGTTCGTGTGGCGAATCATGCGTTGAGGGAGTTCATGCAGCTCTAGATGTTTTGGATACCCTAGCTGTCTACGTTGAGGAACGGGTCGTAACGCTGCCGGCGGCACGGGAGCGATTTTTTCTCGTAGCTTTCAAAATTTTCGCTCTCGTAATTGTTGTTACCAGAGCGCTTTGAAAGCTGACGGGAGCGAAATCGCTCGCCGCTCCCGTGTATTTTTTTCGCTGATGTGCACGTGCATATGTGCATGTTCATGTGTGCGTACATGTATCTGTGTGCATAATAACATGCTTGATTCTCCAACCAGACATTCCTTAATTGATAAGTTTAATTGATAACGTTTATCAATTGATAACCAAGTCATTGTTTTTTTAATGTAGTGAAGAGAGGGCAAATGTGATGGTGCCTTTAAATTAGTTTTGGCGCATGCTATACCTTACCCTCATCGCCCCTCCTGTGATGTTACTTAGTTTCATGTGTGTCTGTCCTAGATTATCTGTGTGCACTTTATTACGGTGACTGGCACGGATGCTTTTCTGTTTCAGCTGATCGTGCGTACAGTGAAGGACCACCCGCACCACACGCTACCCATCATTCTCGCGCTAGCAAACTCTTACAAAGACACCGAGCTGTTCGCTTCCAAGACCACACCCGGTCGCGGCCGGAGGTCAAAGGTCAAGGAGAATTCGGTCGTGGAAGAGGTAACTTTTGCCAAAGTTCTTTAAATTAGAGGAATGAATGTCCCTCTCTCTCTCTCTCTCTCTCTCTCTCTCGCTCTCTCGCTCTCTCTTTCCCCCCCCTCTCTCTTTCTCTCTTTCTCTCTCCTTGAGTATTCAACGTCACGGATGACCTAGCAATGTTTCTTATCGACTATAAAGGCGTGGCCGGTCCAATCTCCACTTACTTCCCCGGGTATCATCTGCCGGTTGTCGGTTCCAGGACAGAGTGCTCGCCGCCAAGAACATGTTGAACCTGCTGCGGGTCAGAGGTCACGGTGACATCATCGCCAACATGGAGGCGCTGTCCGACGCCTACATCTCGCTCGCCTACCTCGACGCGAGCGCTCACAAGAAGGAGACTCAGTCGATCAACATCCCGGCGAGCCAGCATCTGCTCGCGCTCGCCAACCTGCACAACGTTGCCGTGCCGACGCTTGAGCTGCCGGTATGCTCAACGCGCACGCGATATATGGGGAAATGAGTTTCGTATATAGAGTAGAGAAGTATATAAAAGTATAGAGTAGAGAAGTATATAAAAGTATAGAGTAGAGTAGTATATAGTATAGAGGAATGGGTATGCGACACTGCATGTCTGCAATTAGATCTATACGTGAGAGTTTTCGTGTGGCAGCATTGACTGCATGGTGATTGTTGAGAGGTTGCAGGCATTCTCACTGTTATCGTGAACACTCGTCGATTTTCTATAATTATGTAATCAATATTCTTTCGTAACGGAGTAGATCTGTGCATGCTTTTATTGAATTTCTGTCGTCGAGTTAATAAATGTAATCAAGAGATGTAATGATAGTAGCAGTGACTGCCATAGAAAAGTTTGGAATCCTTTTTTAATTGGCAGCAACACTACGATATTATTGCCCACATGGAGTCTTTGCCATCTAGCAATAGTTGCATTGAATGTAGATTATATTGTTAACAGAAGATACTGTTACGTCTACTTAACTCTCTACCGCTAACCGACGCATTCTTCTCATTTTCTCTGCAACGATCCGCGCAAACTTGCAGGTGGATCCGACATGCGAGTACAAGAACATCGTGCACGTCGTCAGGTTTGCGCCGACATTTAAACTAGCCGGTGGTCTCAACCTTCCCAAGATAATCACCTGCCTCAGCTCTGATGGCAAGCAGCGAAGACAACTAGTCAAGGTCGGTGTAAAGCCATTCCCTAAACTGATCTACATGTATTTTTCTACCAGTTACGGTAGCCACAGTACCTTAATTTAGTCCTATTATTACGGTTGATTATGATCATCGTACTAAACAGTCTTACACTATGAATTTTCAAGGTTTGCTCATTGACTGAATTATTTAACATTTGATTTTGCTGCAGGCTAGGGATGATCTGAGACAGGATGCTGTGATGCAGCAGGTGTTTGCTATAGTCAACAGACTGCTGCAGGGTCAGCAGGAGACAAGAAAACGCCGACTGCACATACGCCAGTACAAGGTACTCAGTTGAAGAGATCGATCATACTGAATTCGAATTTAATTCAGAAGTAGTAGTGAAAAAAAAATTGCAGTTTACTACTGATTAAAGGATGCGTATATCTTTGGCAGTTCTGTGTGCTGAGTTCAAGAGATAAATGAATTTACTCAAAAAGTAATAGTGAAGGCTCAAATATTCAATCTGCTGAATGAAAGTTACGTGTTTTATAGCAAACGCTGCTAATAAAAGTAGCATAAAAGTAAGTGATATACTAAACCATTCAGCTGTTCACCATCTCAAGCAGTACAGTTTCACTCCTCGACCGACAGTAAGAAAATAATCTAAATACTCTACGACGTTCTACTTCACCTCTACCCGTCACTGTATTTTTGCATCAACAATAGAAAGTTGATCAATATAGATTTTATCACACCCTACACCAGCTAATGCCGCTCGCCACACTTTGTATCGACAGTAGGAAGATTATCTAGATTTTATCACACCCTACACCAGCTAATGCCACTCTGCACACCTTGTTATCAACAGTAGGAAGATTATCTGGTATTTATTACGTCCTAATCCACCTAATGCCGCTCTCTACACTTTCCTATCGACGACGGGGACATGATTATGGGTGTTATTATGTTCTGCGTCAGGTGATGCCGCTCTCTCAGCGCAGCGGGCTGCTGGAGTGGTGTGAGGACACGATCCCGCTCGGCGTCTACCTCGTCGGTGACAGCCAGCGTGGCGGCGGCGCGCACCACAAGTACCGGCCGGGCGACTGGACGGCGTCGGCGTGTCGGCGCGTGATGTTGGCGGCGAGCGGCAGCGACAAGCTCGCGGCGTTCCTCGACGCGTGCCGCCACTTCCTGCCCGTCTTCCGACACTTCTTCTTCGAGGGCTTCGTCGAGCCGGCGATCTGGTTCGAGCGGAAGCTGGCGTACACGCGCAGTGTGGCGACGAATTCTATAGGTGCGTGCCAATGCTGTTGTTGTTGTCATCGTTGTTGTTGTTGTTGTCGTCATCGTTGTTGTTGTTGTTTTCGTCGTTCTTGTTGTTGTTGTTGTTGTTATTGTTGTTGTTATTGTTGTTGTTGTTGTTGTTGATTGTGGAGCTGGCGGTCTGGTTTAAGCAGAATTCCATCCGTTAGGCACGTGATTCCTATATCTGTTGTCATATCGTTGTTGTTGTTGTTGTTGTTGCTGTTGTTGTTGTTGCTGTTGTCGTTATTAATTGTTCTTGATTGTGGAGCCGGCAGTCAATTATAGCCGGCGGAATATTACTGGTGCATGCTGACGGGTTGTTGATTTTGTTGTTTATGTCGACGTCATTGTTTATGTTCTTCTTTGTTGCCCTGAGCGAATTGTAGATCCATCTTCACATTTGTGTTTAAACTGCAACTTGTTTCATTCTTATCTTCACCCTTCCAGATGTTACGTGATTATTGTATACGTAGCCAATTGCATGTGAAACATGCGCTAGCATGTTTGAGTGGCGATTTGAGCCTAGCCGATTCGATTTTTTTGACTACAGTTGGATACATCCTTGGACTAGGAGATAGGCACGTTCAGAACATTCTGGTCGATCGTAACACAGCTGAGCTCGTGCACATTGATTTAGGTAAGTGCATCAGTGCACAGAATGATGTGCAATTCAAGAGGCATTCGATGACAGTCTGCAGCCATCTAGTTGGCAGTTTTTGTTTTAAATGGTGGAATGAGAACTCGTGAGGCTGGCTGTGTGGCATGGTAGGACAGAACAGTCACCTGTCTATAAAGGACACTTGGCGGTTTTCTTGAATGACAGACGTGCAGCGAAATCACCTCTATAGAAGGACACATGTCAGTGTCTATAAAGGATGCTAGGGGTTTCCTTTAAATGGCCTATATATATATATATATATATATATTTATTTATTTATTGTATGGTATAGTGTAAGAGCATGTTTTATCTATCAGTGTTTCAAGGATCTCAAGGATGTAGTATCTTTAGCGATTTTTCGCCCTGTTTATCCCGCAGGAATTGCATTTGAGCAAGGCAGGATACTGCCGACTCCGGAGACGGTGCCCTTCCGGCTTACACGAGACATCGTCGATGGTATGGGCATCACTGGCACCGAAGGCGTCTTCCGCAGGTGTGTGGTCGTCGTGGCAACGCACACCACGCGTGAAACCTTCCGCACTTCTCGTTGCATAAGACTTTCAATGTCTCTTAACAATGCCTAAAGCAAGTAACAGGTGGCGCTACCTTCTCTAATCCTATGCCCTCACCACACTTTTCTTTGTGAATAATGCTAGTACTAGTCAGCACTGCTGATGACTAGATTCCTTACTACTGCCATCACTAATAATACATTAATATTATCGTCATCATTATCGTCGTCGTCGTCGTCATCAGGTGCTATGAGAAGACAGTGAAGGTGATGCGTAGTTCCCAGGATATTAATATTATTATTATCATCATCATCATCATCATCATCATCATCATCATCATCATCATTATCATCAGGTGTTGTGAGAAGACTATGGAGGTGATGT